AGTCGCATATTTGCAGCTTTGTGTGAGGAAATGGGGGCGGAGCATAAAGCCTTGCTGTTTCATACGGAGGTCCGGTGGTTGTCGCGCGGCAAGGTGCTGGCCCGTGTGTATGAGCTGCGAGAGGAACTTAAAGTGTTTCTGACAAGTGACGGGTCCGATTATGCAAAGCTGCTTGCAAGTAATGAGTGGTGTGCAAGGCTGGCATACCTGGCAGATATTTTTCATCACCTGAATGAACTGAACACACGAATGCAAGGCCAAAATGAAAACCTGCTTACAAGTACAGATAAAATAAATGGATTCCGTTCAAAACTGCAACTCTGGCAGCAACATGTGGAAAGTGGCAATCTTGAAATGTTCCAACTCACCAAGAAATGGCAAGATGTTAATACTGCTGCACTGTGTGAGATAATAGTTAAACATTTGAAAACTCTTGAGGAGAAGATGTCATTTTATTTCTCTTCAGCCTCCACAGAGTGCCTTGACTGGGTTAGGGACCCATTCAGCTCAGCTTTAGCTTTTGGAAAGGACTTGACTTTACAGGAGCAGGAGGAACTAACTGAACTGAGACAAGATCGTGGTCTCAAGCTAAGTTTTGCAGACCTACCTTTGGACAGTTTTTGGTTGGCAGCTGCCAAGGAGTTCCCCATGCTGGCCAACAAAGCCGTTTTGACATTGCTCCCATTTTCCACAACATACCTGTGTGAGGTGAGCTTTTGAAGCCTGACTGCTGTAAAAACTAAAGACAGAGAAAGACTGAGAGCTGTGGAGGAAGAGCTTCGTGTGTGTCTTTCATCGATTCCTGCCAGGATATCATTTCTGTGTTCATCCAAACAGCCCCAGGTTTCACACTGAGTGAGTGTCAATATTAAAGATGATAAAATACTTTTTTCTTTGTGATTATTAGATTCATATTTTTAATTCAAGACGTTATAATATAACGTCATTCTTCAATGTTAAACTAAAAGCTTATATTAATAATATAACACTTATATTGTTAATATAAGCTTTGGGGTGCCGCAGGATTTTTTAAATGAAAGAAACGTGCCTTGGCTCAAAAAAGGTTGAAAAACACTGCAATAGGCTATGTGCAATCGTTTCGATATGTTTTAATAAACATTGAACCAGTCCGGCCCTCTGCTTGTAGTAAATTTGTTTTTTTGGCCCTCGGTGTGTTTGACTTTGACATCCCTGCCTTAGTGCGACTACACAAGGTAACACATTATCATTTAACACTTTTTTGTTTTTTTACAGTAATTTTACATTTTTGCACTCCGTACTGTTAGCATCCAATTTTACATTTAAAGCCAGGAAAATAATTACACAAATTCATATATTCATTATAATAACTACACGCATTACATTTAGAAACCATTTCGTAAATTTGACCTATCATTTATTTGTTCCAATTCGTTGCACCACTTGATGAATATTGCTTGTACCACCTGACAACAATAATTATGACATGGAATAAGCTGAGAAAAAATGTATTTTCATGTCAAACAAAATCCTTTCAGGGCTGTATGGTAACTTTTAAAGCTTATAATACCAGCACAAAATGTTGTTAAAATCATTAAAGCCCAACCGTAGCGCATATCACTAAAACACACTGACTAGCGGAATTGCATAGAATGATAAACACATGTTGAAATGTTTATTCATTAGTTGACATTAGCTGACAAATTCCCATTTAAGAATGTGAAAGTTGTAAACTGTAAAATTAACTCTTGGAGATTTCACCAGCATTATACGTGACATTCCTTGCAGTTGTGCCACCTGACTATTGCAACTTAAAAGTTAAACAGTTTTATTATAAAATGATATAATGGTTTTATAATGGTTGCAACACTTGACATGGAAAACCTAAAAGCCAACATATGAGCTAAAAGTAGTTACTTTTATCGCTATCTCTCAGGATCTACAAGCCTTTTAGCTTAGTCCCAAGGGTCTCTTGGGGTCTTCTGGCTGATGCAACATCCTGTTTATGGCTATTGTCTCTTCACTTAGAAATAAAAGCCCAATGTTTATGGTTGCGCCACCCTGACATTTAGGAAATGTAAATTGCTGGACAAATGGTTTGCAGTTTTAAAACTATTGTTATATGTATATATATAAACACTATCCCAAATTAATTAAAACATAAAATAATGGCAGTATGTTTTATTTTGAAATCATCATTATCAAAATGAAATTTTGAATTTTTAAGTCTGCTCACTTGCTTGGACAATTGCACCACCTAAAATCTTAAAAGTTTGAGAAGCCTTTTAACCCAATTCTTTAGTTGGAAGCCAGAGACTAAACTAGAGCAGATCAAGAGTACAAATCACTGATTTAAATGAGTGAGTTAAATTACAAAATCTGAAGGTATATTGTCATAGACAAAGGTGCAACCACTTCATTTTGTATTTTTTCAATAAAATAGGCAATTTTCCAGTTATTACTTTGTTTTTGTCAACACCATCAGACACAAGGAAAAGCAAATTTTGTTTACTTATTTGGTCTAATATGTATTTAGAGTTTTTAAATCATTATCTGGCATTGTTAGTACACATATATGCTGTTAAATGTCGAGTATTTAATTTAGTTAATTTCTTATACTGGACATGTAGTCCTTTAAAAGATCTAACATAAATAGAAAAAGTCATGTTTTTTCATTTAACAAACATATTTTTGTATTAAAAGACACTATTACTTTAATGACAGAACAGCACTGAAGAAGCATAATGGAAGCATTTGGAAGTTTCATTTAAAACAAATAAAAAGCCCTCTGATGGTGGTGAATTTAGAACTGATGGTGGTTATACTAATCTGACGGTGGTGACAGTTGCCTCATTACAACATACAATTCCAAACTGTATACAATTCAAGTCAATGGCTTCTTGCTTATTAGCTTTATTTAACTATTTGGTCCCAAAAAATAATTATCATGAGCACTGTGAAAAACATTTATCAAAAGTCTTGTCTGGTATTAGCATCTAGATCACATGATTTGGTTCAGGCTATCTTTCATCGTTTCTTCAGCCTGATCAGAAAACATCATGGTGGTGGAGAACCTGCTTCCTTGGGGTTAAGTAATCATATATTAGTCATACTTATTTTGGTGGTGTTACTTAGCAGCTTTTGAAATGTATGTAACAATTCAACTATAAGGAAACATGTGAAACTGTTCTTTGTAGGGCCCTAAGAAAACTCACAAATGACAGGCACGATGGCTGGGATCAGTATTTAGATGCCACTTTGTTTTCACTGAGGTCCAAAGTGCACACATCCACAAAATACTCGCCCTTCTTCCCAAAGTATGGAGGAAAGGTTCGGTTCCCGTCCGCAGTTCCTGTTGAAATGCCAGTAGGGTTCTGCCTGTCCTAAGTTTGGAATACTATTTTGTGGATGTTCCTGTGTATTAATGTAATAAAGGGGTGGTATTATTTATTTATTTTTAGCTATGTTTGTGGTGTTACTTAGCAGCTTTTGAAATGTATGTATCCCATGAGATACGTTGCCAGATTAGGGATACAAATTTGGTTAATGTGCATTAGTCAAAATTTTATTTCAAACTGGAAGGCATGTTAATAATTACTGCAGTACCAGATATTATCATGCACAGCTGTGCCCATTACAACAGTATAACTGTATTTAACTTTTTAAAAAATCAATTTATTTTCAAGCAGGGCATCTCAGCTAGGTCCTTTTATGGGAAAAGAAAGCCTAGCAAAGGAATGAGAGTGATAGAGGAGATCCCTGCAAGTTCTTCTGACTGAGTCAAACAGTGATGAAGATCAGGAAGTAATGTTCAGCCAGCATGAGATAGAGGCAGTAAGTGAAGGCAGTTCTGATGAGGAGCTTAACCAGAAGTCCAAACAAGCCAAGGGATTCAGGTGACAGCAGTTTTATTTAGGGACACTTATATGTGCAACCCATACAAATGTATGTATGTTCTAATTCAGGGGTGGCCAACTAGTCAGAGACTAAGAGCCACTTTTTTTTCTGTTACTGCAAAGAGCCACAACATACATAATCATGTATGCACGCATACAGACCTCTGCTCAGCCAGATCTAATGAAAATAACCACACCAACATATCAGTAATTTTCAACAGTTAACATTGTGTGCACTGTCTCGCTCAAACACAAACTCTCAGTTCAAGCAAGTCCACAAACAATAATAGAATCATTTTCAATAACATCTTTCTCTTACCATGCTGCTTAGTGAGACTTCTTGCAATCCTTATCTTGAACAAGCCTCTTCAAATCTGCATACTTTTGTATGTGACACAGCTCTGAGTTGTAGTGGAAGTCAGAGGAGTACAGGGTGAAGAGAAGAGGGGCCAGCGCTGTGCCCTGGGGGGCTCCTGTGCTGCTGACCACAGTGTCAGACATGGTGTCCTTCAGCCTGACATACTGCGGCCTGTTGGTGAGGTAACCGTGGATCCAGGTGACCAGGTGCGGGTCCACTCCCGTGCTGTATAGTTTGTCCTGGAGCAGAAGGGGCTGGATTGTATTAAAGGCACTGG